TCTCCACCCCACCGGGGTTGCTGGGCGCTGCCAACCCAGAGAGCGGGTCCAGGCTGGGGGTGCCGAGCGGCGGTGGCTGGGGTGGCCGCCCTGCGCAGCGGGAGGCATTCGGGGCGTGGGGTGACAGCAGTGCGCTCCTGCCGCCCCGCAGCCTGCCCAAAGGGAGGCGTGGGGCAGCACGGCTGCCTCATTTACACCAGGAAAAGTAAAATGCCAGTGGGGTGTCTGAGCTCTCCTGCAAGGGACGTGATGCGCGATGGCAGGATGGGCAGAGCTAAGCTAGAGCGGGCAGTTACAGATGGGACGGGCAGTGGAAATGGGATGAAATGGGATTCTTCTCAAGGAGTATCTTTTCTGGGATGTTTCTGGGCAGTCTGGGATTTTCGGTGTGCTTCACCTCTTGTTTTACCTTTTTCAGCTCCAACTGAGTCCTCCATTGAGGAGATCTTTGAATCGCAGAATTCAAGGATTCCCGGAGCCATTGCTGTGTGCAAAGCATCAGTTCTCCTCTCTTTCATTCATGGTTTCACTGTTTTCAGGACAATTTTCTTCCTGCTGGAGCCGGCTGAGCCTGTCCTTACCCATGATTAAATCTTTCAGTTTCTCTTCCAGAGCCAACTCTCATGCCTGAAAGCTTTAAAAAGAAAGACGTGGTTGAAATTTTGTCCCACAAAAAGGCCTACAACACATGTAAGTAAACATCACGGTGAACGTACCCCCCCCAAACGGGCCCAGAGATGGGACCGGGGATGTAGAGAACTGGAAAGGTAAAAGGAGGGAGGCTTCATGAGCACAATCCCACGAGCACAATCCCAGCACAGCTCTGCTGGTCTGGGCTGTTCCTGCAGCCCAGAGCCCCTCTGGGCTGGGCTCAGCCCCGGGCAGGGGGAAGACTAAGGCTTTACAGGAAAGGACGGAGATGGGATGTGACTCATTGGCCTGGGGAGAGCGAGGGGAAGAGCTTGCATGGCCCCGCGGGGCAGCGAGGGTGTGCGGGGCCGCCCTGCCGCCCGCCGGGGAAGGGTCAGTGCTGCTTCTCCAGGACGTGCTCCTGGTAGGAAGGAGGGTGGGAGGGCTTGGTGGGACCATGCGAGCTCCTGGTCTCCCGGCCGTGGGGGACGTGGGAGAGGAGGAGGCGCTGGGGGTGGTTTCCAGCACAGCCCAGCCTGATGTGTTGGTGATGTACATGCACGATGATGCAATGCTCTGGGGGGGACTGCAGGACCAGGGGGGCTCCTCGGGGCCCCTGCGCAGCCTCTGCAGGCCCTCGGGGAGCAGAAAGCCCTTCCTCTCCCCAGGGCTGCCCCTGTGCCAGTACGGGCACATGGAGAAGTCCATGCCACTCACACCGTGGAGAGATTGATCTTCCCCTCCTGGCCCCGTCTTGCCAGGCAGCCCGTCCCCGGCACAGCCAGCCCCTGGGGTCTGGGCCTTCTCCCCTCCCAAGTGACATGCCTCCCTTCCCCCAGCCATCCTGATAGCCCACCTCAAGCTCTCGCACATCGAGCTGCGCCAGATCCTCATGACGATGGAGACAGACCGCCTGGAGCCTTCCCACATCAAGCAGCTCTTGCTGTACGCCCCGGACGGGGAGGAAGTCCAGCGCTTCCAGAGCTACAAGGAGAACCCCGGCAAGCTGAGCGAGCCCGACCAGTTTGTGCTGCAGGTACCTGCGGGCAGGGACATGTTCCGGGAGCGAGGAGGTCTGCATGTGCAGTGTCCCCGGGATGTCCCGCTGCGAGCTGGAGGGGAGGGAAGCACACAGCAGGGAGGAAGCAGTCAGCAGGACGCTGGTCCGCTCATGCATGCTGTGGGGTGGGAAGAGCTGGTGGCAGTGGTCACAGGGACTGCCGGCGAGCGATGCTCAGGCTGATGTCTGAGGTGTCTGGCAGCTCCCACGGCGGCTGTTTTACAGCTGAAGCATACCACGATGTTTACTCCATGGTAAGAGTGACTTTGCCCAACTCTGAATTACTTTCTGTTGACAAAGCCACTTGTGGATATTGGCATGAAACCCTCCTCTCCTGCGGCAGCACACTGGCCGTGCTCCGCTAGCTGCAGCAGCCGTCCCAGCTGCTCCGTGGTGTCGCCTGCTCTAAGCAAGTGCATATTGCTTTCAAGTACAGTGAAATATGCCAGGAAAAACACCATATAGGAGGGATTATGACTAATGGTGATAGTAGTAATTTTCTCCTTCTTTTGCTCTCAGATGTTGTCCGTACCAGAATACAAGATCCGCCTGCGCAGCCTACATTTTAAGACCACTCTGCAGGAGAAGACAGAGGAGATCAAAGCTAGCTACGAGTGCATCTGCAAGGCCTCTCTAGAGCTGAAAAGCAGCAAGAAGCTGGCTAAGATCTTGGAGGTCAGAACAGTCCTTCCTTCTGGTAACAGCCACCGGGGGCCCCCAACGTCCACGGGAGCACCCGCAGGCAGCCGGGCAGCTCGCAGGCAGCTCGCAGGCAGCTCGCAGGCAGGCAGAGCGCAGCAGGCCCCACCCGCTGGCAGCTCCCGCTGGCATTGGCTTGCGGGGATCCTGGCCTTGGGAGGATGCAGGAGGGCAGATCGCTGATGGCCACGCACCCACCCGCAGCACACAGCAGGGTTGCAGGAGCCAGAAACCCGCCCAGTAACACAGCAGAGCCCACCGAGGTTGTCCTTTGGCTGCGATGGGGCTGGAGGATGTGGGGTTTGGCCAAGCAGTCACTGTGTGCGTGTCCACATGCAGGTAGCACTGCAGGCTGGTCCCTGTGCACGGCTGTGGGCTTGTGCCAGCCCTGCCGCGGTGCAGGCAGGGGTCCTGCACACTGCCCGTCCCTCTGAGGAGGTGCCTTTGGGTTCCCGGGGCCAGGCTGTGCCTGGCAGAGGGGCACTGCACTTGCAGGAGAGAACGAATCCCGCTGCAGCTGCTCTTTGACCCTACTGAGATGAGCTGCCCCAAATTAATGTTAATTCATTCGGGTTTGCTTTTAAGAAAAGCAGGTGGGATAAATGAGGACATGATGTGACAGAAGGCATTTCCAGATGAGAGATGAACCTCCTCAGTGGCTCCTGGCCAGTAACTCCCCAACACCTCATTAAGTCCTTGTGGAGGTAATGGCTGGTTGCACATTAACGGGTGGTGAATGGAAATTCGGAGACTCCCAGGCTGAAATCCAGACAGTCCTGAGGTCCCTGCTCCTCGCCAGGCCCCAGGAGGGATGTCAGAACTCTGGTGAGCCCAGTCTGGGGTCCTGCTGTGCCTCCAAGGCTGCAAAGCTGCAGCACAAGGAATTGGAACATTCTGGAGGGAAAAGCTGGCTCTGCTGGATCACTACTTTCCCTTTAAAATATCCCCTTAAAGATCTGCAGATAATAGCTACAAAAGGCTTTGGGAAGAGGAGAGCTTAGGCACTGGCCAGTCAGCAGGAGAGTCCTTGTCCTGCAGTCAGGAGATCTCAGAGTAGACCTCCAGACTTAGCCCTGGTCCTGCAAGGAAAAATGACTGAGAAATAAAAAGGCAACACCAAATTGTGTACGCCCAAAGCCTGAGGCTATAACACAAGACAAAATCCCCCCTTAAATGTTAACAGAGCTTGGCCACCTGTATCGTCAGTCTGGAAGTGGCAAAGGAGCCAAGCCGGTGGTAGTGGTGCCGTGGGCTCCCTGCAGCTCTCTGGCAGCACAGACCTTCTGGACGGCTGCAGGAGTGGGAAGGGGACTCCTGGGCAGCATCCACATAAACCACATGGGGAAGCATCTAAATGTGAGCTCTTGTAAGGGCTTTGGAAGTTTGGGTCTGCAGATGACAAACGGGGTGTGTTTTCTAGCCCTTGCTGAAGACACAGGAGAGGTGGTGGATGAGGACCAGTTCCTGGAGCTGAAACGTGGGCTTTGCTGTTGAGGGTTCAGTGCAGGCTTCGTACGGGAGGAGCACGGAGAAGAGAACAGCCTGCGCCACTGACCCATGGCCCCGTCCCTTGGGGCTGCTGTGCTGATGGGCGCATTAGCAGCCCTCCTCCTCCCAGCGTGCTGTATGGGTGATAGGATGAACAGTGCGTACAGAACCAGTGGAAATTCTGCCTTTAACATGCCCTCATCCCCCTAATCTACCCCACCGAATGAACTGATAAGATTTTGTTAACAATGTTCTATGAGCACATGTACGGGGCCCCTTAGTGGAAGTGACCTGACACAAAAAAGAGTGCTTTCCCACCGTCCTGTAGACAGTGGAAGGCTTTTTACCTCTGCTCCTACCACACCGTTGGTAGGTCTCTGTGACCCAAAAGAGGGTACAAAAGGAGATGGGAGATGGGATGATACAAGTGCTGGAGGTCACTGGCCGGTCATTCACTGAGCTTTCTCTTTGCAGTTTGTGCTGGCGATGGGAAACTATCTGAACAACGGGCAGCCCAAGACCAGCAAAACAACAGGCTTTAAAATCAACTTTCTCACCGAGGTAAGACGAAGCATGCTTGTTCCCGTGGCAGGAGGCACCGATGCCAGGAGCTCCAAGTGCCCTGTTTATCGTGCCTGTCCTCGTACAAGGCTCCTGGGTGCAGCGGCTCCTGGAGGGGGGACCGGTGGGAAGGCTGGGATCGATGCGCAGGGTTGACTTCAGAGGGGCCCTAAGGGTGGTCTGGTGCTTCAGTGTGCTGGGACCTGAGACCCAGGCCTTCTGGCTGTGGGGTGGGAGAAAATGAAGGTCTTTCTTTTATCCCACGTGGGTTGCTGTGGGACTCCTGAGGGGTGGGGGATGGGGTGACAGCCCTGGCCTGCGGGAAGGAGGCATCGCTTAGCATCCTGACACCACTAATCTGGGCGTAACATGCTGTGTAAACATTAAATGTCCTATTTAAACATTAATCCACATAGCATGGCTGGGAATTGCCACACATGTGAATGCAGGGTGAGCTGAGCAGAACAGAGGAGCCCCTGTGTATTTGGGTGCTTGGCAAAACCCACTCGCCTCTGCATAGGAATCTCCTTACTTGTTTTGCTTTGCCGTAGCTGAACACAACCAAGACTGTTGATGGGAAATCCACCTTCCTGCACATTCTTGCCAAATCACTTAGCCAACATTTCCCAGAGCTCCTGGGCTTTGCCAAGGATCTTCCTACAGTGCCGCTCGCTGCCAAAGGTAAACGAACAAAAGCATCTGCAAGCTCCTTGTCTCCTCTCTTGGTTTTGTACAGGTCTAGAATTGGTCACGAGCTGCACAGCATTGGCACGAGCAGCATGGCAGCCCAAACAAGTGAAGAATGGTCCTGAGCGAGAGGACGGGGCTAGGAAGGGACAAGCTTAGTGACAGGGGAGGTCCCATCCGTCCCATGCTGCCGCACATGGGAGTGTCTAGACAAGGTCCCTGACCTGAAAAAGTAGTTCCCAAGTTCAGAGGTATTTTGTAAGTGCAAATGAGGCACAGAAGAGGGAAGTGCCAGGAGCCGGTCTGCTCCACCCAGCCTCTGCCTCCTTCCATCCCTGGTGTGCAGCCTCCCCAGCGTGGGTGCCAGCATTATTACTGCTTGCAATCGCATGTGGTACAGAGGGTACAGCAGCCTTCATGTTATGAGTTCACAGTCCAGTCGCAGGTATGTCATGCTGACTGAGGATCGTACAGCTTCGTTGGTTGCAATAAAAAAAAGTCACATAGATGCTGGGGTTATCATCCATCCACTTGTGTTGGTGGTGTCACAACCAACAGGGATGGGCTGCGTTCTCCTTGCAGATCATCCCCTGTTGTTCGTGAGTAATTCCCTTGGGAATTAGTGCTACAGTGGATAAATAAAGGAGAAAATTCAGACCTGGAGATGTAAATTTCCACTTGATGAAGGTCTGTACCTGTAGCTTTCCTGGCTGGATTTTGTATCTAGCCTAACTGTTAAATAACACTTCTATGACTGAAGGCTCCCTGCTGCCCAAATTCCTGCCGCTTTATACCCAATTTCAGACCATGTGCTAGCCAGGCCTGCCCAGCTTCGCTCTTGCACAGCCCACAGAGCGACACAGCTGCAGCACGTAACCCAAACCCTCCTGACATGCTCCAGTTCACCCTCTCCCTTGCCTGTAGAAGAGCTAAGGCTTGGCCGCCCAAGACAGCAAGGAGTTTGAACTGCTCATCGCTCTCCTGAATGCTGGTGCTATGATGAGATGCCATGGAGGGCAGCCTGGATATTACCCCTTGTCCCACCGTCCTGTACACTCCCGCTGTCCCCCTCCCAAGTCAAATACCTGTGTATCCATCACTGCCCTTGTGCTGCTGGGTCCTGCGTGCTCCTTGCACTTGGCACATTTCAAGCTCTTTTTGAGGTTCTTGGCATCTCTTGGCCCAAGCGCCCAGCGGCAGCTGCTGGCAACGTGCTGGAGGCCAGCAGGAAGGTCTGGTCGTCCACCACACCCTGGACAATGCAGGCAGGTTATGCAGAGCCATGTAGACAGACAGCCTGAACCACCCTGACCGACGGCCCACGCTCGTTGCCCTCACTTTGCTGCAGGAAGCAAGCCAGACCTAAGTCTCCTAACACTGTTGACTCCTCTCTTCTCATGTAGTGAATCAGAGAACACTGACGGCGGACCTAAAGGACCTGCACACCACCGTCAGTGACATACAGATGGCCTGTCACAACATGCCAGCTACCGCAGAGGACAGATTTGCAATTGTGATGACTGTATCCTTCTGTAAAAGGCGCAAAACACCAATGTGACTTACTGCCCTCGAGGAAAACCATTCAGTTGTCTTTATGCCTCCTTGGTAAGCAGCAGGGATGTGTCCGGCTGGTAAGAAAGGACCATCTCAGCACTTGGTGAGGAGCATGGTGGAAATCTCCACCCTCCACTCACTCTTAGCCAGCATGGGAAACAGCTTTCGTGGTGACCACCAGTTCACATGCCTCTGCATGGCAGAAAGCCAGTGCCACAAGGCCAGAAAGCTTGCCGAGTCGTCTTTCCCCCTAGAGAAGTGCTGTTAGGGACAGCTGAGCATGCCAGTGGGCTCCCTTCACGTGTGGCCGCAGCCTGCATTTGCAGCAGGTCCTTTCTTAGACCTGAGATGAAACCCAGCCATTTGATAAGCAGAAGTGATTCTGATCTGTACCAGACCCACAGTGCGGCTGTTTTCCCTTAAGCCATTTCTCTCAGTCCTTCCTGGAGAGTGCCCAGCCTGCCATGCGATCCTTGGATGACCTGCAGCACAAGGCCATGGAAGAATTCAGCAAGGTGTTGTCCTTCTTCGGGGAAGACTCGAAAATGACAACTTCTGAAGCTTTCTTTGGCATTTTTGCAGAATTCATGAGCAAGTTTGAGGTGAGTTGCACTTTTCAAAGCCAGCCAGCAAGGGGTTTCCTGTTAAATGTCAGTGAAGTGTTTTACTTGCATGTGAGCTGTGGGAACGAGACGGGCTTTTTGTGAGCACGTGTACCTGTAAAGTGCAATTTTTCTAACGTCCAAGTTGGCTGGCCGGTGCAGGAGGCTGAGGTGAGGGTTGATGGTCCAAGCACCGGCCCCATGGAGAGTAAAGCAGATGTTGTCATGGTCTGACGTTCTTGGTTAATGAAGGCTGGGTCGGAGCACCACAAAACAGATGCACTGACTGTCAGGGCTTGTCCAGCGGGAAGCTGGGGGAGAATTAAGTCTGTAGTGGCCAGTACTGTTGAAACGTCCTCCCTGTCCACACCAGCTGCCCTTGCCTGATCCTCAGCTCCTGCTCTTTGCTCTCTCCCTGCAGCGGGCACTCAGCGATGTGCAGCTCGGCGAAAGCCAGCGCAGCCCCAGGATGACCTCCCCCCTTGCCTGGTGACGGGCCTGCAGCAATGTGAGGTGCAACAATTTATTGCCAACAAAGTGCAATTCGCTCCCATTGAGTTTGGTTGTAAATACGCTGCTGTCACCTGCTACCACCAAGCAGAACCACGGACCGAGGGGTCGGGGCAGTTTGGACACTGAAAAGGCTCCATAGGTGATAGTGGATGGATGTGGGGGAGAGGCACAGGGACAAGAAGGTAAACACCGGGCTGGTCTTGACAGCAGCTTTCTTAGCACCCTCCATTTCCAGCGTATTACTCAGTCAAGGATTTCAGACACATCTGGGTAAAACCCCCCTCTCCCGTGTTTCCAGAACACACATAACTGGCACCAGCAGTTGCTGGAGACCCTCCCCACGTCCCCACGGCCAGTGCCCGAGCATGGCTGTGCAAGGAGTCTGCCCTCGCAGGATACAGCTTTCCCCAGGCAGGCACCGCTCGCCCCTGCCAGCCTCGGGGCCGGGGTTCCACCGCCCCCCCCTGCCAGCCTCGGGGCCGGGGTTAGAGCCCAGCCACAGACTCCCTGGGGAGCCAGAGCAGGTCAGGCGAGGAAGGGAGCGCGGGGGGATGAGGGCTGCCACCAGCGCCTGCTCCCCCGGGACCCTGAGTAGCAATGCTGCTGAGCTCCTCTCAAATCCCTCTCCAAGCCTTTCTGCCCTTGAGCTGCACCGTGGGGCTGGGGCTCCACCTGAACAGACTGTAACAGCGGAGTGGAGACCGCTGGAGGTGGCCTGGAGGTTTTAATCCCCTGCCATTGCCGGCCAGTGGCAATGGAAAGCAATATGACCTTGCAGAACCCTTCTGGCACGTCCGTGTGGTCCCAAATACAGATCCAGCCTGGTTTCACCCAGCTGCGCTGGAGAGGAAGGAAAGCCCAGAGTCCTTCCCGGCCATCAGCTTTGCTTAAAGGTGTGGCAGAGACTGACAGGTCTTGAAATCTTCCCAAGAGTTTAACAGCAGCAGCAGCAAACTTATTTGAACTCGCCAGGAGACATAAATCCCTGAGCATTGTGGTGCCTCCTTGGAAAGTACAGAACCCTCGGTAGCCTAAAAATGAGTGGGAGTCCTCTGCAGCCCCAAGTACTGCCCCTGTGGCAGGGCAGAGACCAGCGAGAAATACATCCCCTGCCCTCCTTTGTTCACTCCGAGAGCTGGAGTCCTGAGAGTCCTTTACTGTATGACCAGTCGTTCACACGGAGTATACCCAGGGAAGTCTGGAAGCATGCACGTCCCTCTTTCAACAGCGGCTGATTGTTATTTAGATGACTTAATTCCCTCTGAGGTGTCCCCTGTGGGAGGAAAGGGCTAGCAGCATCCCGCGGTCAGTGCATGCGCCTGCGGGCGACACAGTGCCCCGAGAGCTTTACGGCAGCAAACCTACAGTGCGTTAATATTGTGAGGCATTACCCTGTGCAAAAAGCATCCGTTGCCTTTCAAACCCGACACGCTCCAACATCCTGCCCCGTGGAAGCACTCCAGCAAGCCGTAGCGTAGGTAACCTTCCTCCCGCCTGTTGCCAGAGCGAGAGCTCTTACTGCAGCCTCTGCTCAAGTACAGAATCACCAACTGGTGCATTATTTATAGGAGACCTTATCACCGTCAAATCTTTGGGTTTCAGTATTTTTTTAAACCCTGCTGTAGAAAGTGAAGTATATTTTCACAAGTGTTCTCAGTTTATACAGCTTTAAGTGCCAGGTAGTTTCTAGCGTTGTGTTCCCAGAGGTCCAGCCCCGTCTGTCTCTGCCTCTCCTCTGCCCCGACGGCGGTGACAGGGCAGTGCTCACTCAGCTCCTCTTTCCGTTTTGGATGTTGCACACTGCATTCAGTTGATTTTTTTTTTTCTAAAAACATATTCAATATTTAAACCACTGGAGGTTCTTTTGAAACTGTCATTACAAATGTGAAAACGCTGTACATAGATTTTGCTACGTGTTGTAACTTTCCAAAATAGTTAGAACTCCAATCCCTTTGGTATTTTTATGTGAATATTTTCAAAGAGCCAGAACTTCTGACATACGGTTATATTATTTGATAATGGGACTATGTATATTCACAATTCAGTCTCTACCCAATGCCTATGTGCTATTCCTAAAATAAAGCTACTGCCTTCTGCCTCCTGACTGCATGTACCTCTGTGCTCTGTCAAAAATTGCTTCGCCCGACAGCCGCAGGTGAAGGTGTGAGGAATTCTGCATCTGGCACTTCCGTGACTGCACATCTTAATATTGGCCCCTTACACCTACAGGAGAGAGAGGCAGGACCCGACCTTGCTGGATTTGGGCTAGTATGGGGAAAATAACTGCATAATTCTGAAGAGGGCTGCTTGCGTGCCAGCATTCAGGACAGTGTGATGAATATGAGCAATAAATTCTTAAAATAGTATGGATTTTTTCTGCAGCCTTCAGAAGAAAACATTTAGTGAGCGTATGAGCCAGTGAGTTGTTTCCCTCTAAAAAGGAATTCTTGGCTGAGGTTGAGTTTACGTCCCCGGAGCAATTTATCTCCCTTTACACTAACAGCAGACAGATAGGGACCGGTTTCGTATCAGATTTCCTGGTTGTAGTTTAGCTCGTTTACAGCAGCCTGCTCAATCACCGGGTCCTCCCCAGAGGCCACAGCACCGGCAACTGTAAAACGGCTCTGAACAGAGTTAACAAAAATGTTATGGGTAGAATTCCCTCACTGGGCACATGAATTTAAAGTGCTTGAACCCCTCCTGATGTTTCTTTAGCCCTCCTGGCCGATCAAGCCTGGGTCTTCTGCAGCCCTGGGGATTTTGAGCTGCCCAGCGCGGCTGTCAAACCTCCCACCGCACGGTCCAGCGCAGCCCGGGCTGCAGTCCATAAACCGCCACAGAAATGATGTCCCGGAGCCTCCTTTGCAGCATGGTACATACGACAGTCGGCATCATTCACTGCACACACTTGTTTTGCTGTTTCTTGACAACTGCAAACATTAGGTAATTTTTCCCCAGAATCAGCGCACTGGCTGGGCGCTCAGCTTTTAGCCTTGTACAGCCCAGCCTTAACAGAATGCCTGCGTCAGCCTCGATCATGGGATCGTCTTCACAGGAAAGCCTGTCCTTGGAAAGGAAATAATAACTCAGGCAGCAGCCCAGGGTCAGTGCAGGGAATGCAGCCGTGGCGTGGCTCCTGCTCCACGGGGTGCCACTTCCATCCTCTGACAGAGACAGGGAAACAGGGACCATGAAAATCCCAGGTTACATTCCAAATTTTGGATTATTTAAGGATTTTCGCTCTTTCCTGCAAGAAATGGGGGGAAAAAAATCAAAAAGAAAATGAGCAGCTTTAGTAAAGTCATGGTGAGGACAAGATCACAGCTCCCGTTGGTGGACTGGCTGGGATAAAATAGTACCAGGCTGGCATCTCCAAGCCAAACTGGAACCACAAATGAACCCTCCCTCTAAGTATCTTGACAATGGTTTGAAGGGCCACGATCCGTAGTTATTTTCCAGGTGCCATGAAAGATGCCGAAGAGACAAACAGAAGTCTCAGCTTCACACTGGAAGGGCTGGAAGTCAGAAAAAAGTGGCATAGACTGGGAGGCAGCACAAGGCACCTGGATGCTGAATTTGAACCCCTCAAGGATCTGCATTGTTCTAACACAATTTAGGAAAATCTGGGTTTTCCCAATTCTGTCGGACCAAATTAAAGCATCTCCAATCACAAGATTCAAAGACCTTTAGTTATGCCCATAAGAATTGTGAGCCAAGTGTGAAACAATGAGATAAAATACAGATACCAGTTTTTTCCTACTTCGCCTTCTGGTTTCTTAGACTTTGGGGTGCCTTTTTTTTTTTTTTTTTAACTTGCCTCCATCGTCAATCTGGAAAACCTAGAAGTGACGGTGAGAGCTGTATTTCTGATTCTAGCAGCTGAGATTGTCAGAGGAGGGGTAGGTTTCACAAAACCTTTGGTAAAAGCAGTGCAGTTAGTTGCAACATTATATGACTAGTGAGAGAGAGAGACAAAAGCAGCACCTGCACCGAGATGCTGCTCACGACCGGCCAGCGACGCGGGACCGGCGTTCCCCGGGGGCTGCCCTGCTTTGGCTGAGACTTTCACACAGGCATCGCAGAAGAGCTGAGGACTCGCCAGTAAAACACGCCCTTAGGGGATCACAGAGAGTAAAATTCGGGTTGATAACTCCACTGTCAGGACATGGATTAGGCTTGTGTAAGGACAGTGCCCATGCTTGATCTGCCCTCCCAGCCAGGAGGTTACCTGCCCGGCGCCGAGGCATGAGGCTTCTTGGTAGTGCTGCCGCGGGGCTCTTTGCACCCTGATTTCAGAGATGTATGAGCTGCCTCCTGCCACAGTCTCTTGCCGTGCTGGAAGGTCCCTCTTCAGCATCATTCTCTGCATGTTATTCGGCCATAAGTGTTTATCACGTTTTTCAGACAGGTGATGCTGAAGCCAAAACCTCCAGCCTGGTCCCAGAAGGGGACCCAATTCTGGGATTAACCTACAGACTCAGAAACGAGTTATGAACCCCACCCCACGGATGAACTCTGCTGTTGGTAAGGCTTAGGCATCAAGCTAGAGACAAGGCTAGCTGTCAGCTCCCCCCTGTGTTGCGGGCTGTCAGCTTGAGAGGACATCAGCATGGATTTTTTTTATTGTTACTTCTCCCTTCTCTAGCTGCGCAGATTGCTTAAGAGAATGGCACTCTGTGGAGTTTGACCCATGAGCCCTGATAGTGAAAATAATACACTTCTCACCAGAGCCACGGGAGACCGAAAGAGTAACTTCGGGCAATTAGTTTAACTTTGACTATAAATATTCCTTCTCATTCCTTGTGACACCGTTAACAGCTCCGCTGGCAAATCCCGATTCTCTGGCAATATTTAAGCTGCCTGTCAGTTGGCAGAGGCTTGGTGGTGCCCGGTGCAGGGAACAGAATGAGACCCAGCTGAGCGCAGTAAGTTCCCTTTCAGCTTTTACTTCGAGTCGGGGAGCTCCGGTTGATGGTGGGT